AAATGCTCCTAAGAAATGTCGTGTCATTGTTAGTAAAAAGCGCCGTATCTATTTCACAGTCTATCCAAATAACCATGCAGGCTGAAGACACCTCTGATCATCTGCATTTTAGACTTTGGTTATACTATTTACTCCATGAGTATTTTCAATTCTCATCTTCTGCAAAAATAAGGAACAGCTCACCAGCAGTTCTTCCAGAAGTTTTTATATTTATTTCCTCTGGAGACAAAAGAACTCTTCCTCCCAGCAAGGAAAGGTTCTATGGTGTAAACCTCAATGGTCTCATCTCTTTTTGTTATTTTAAAGACACACACACGTGTATATAAGCACACCTATTATCAAGGTCAGAAGGGCAATAAACAATACACATTTTTTAATCCCAACAATCTCAGACAGAATGAGGCCTGCCTGGTCTAAAACTCAGTGGTAATTGGGGGGAGGGGGGGGGGAGGGCGCGGGGAACCAGTAGACAGTTTTAAGTCACTCTGTGGTGGTTTGAATAAATATAGCCCCCACAGACTCATGTTTGAATGCTTGGCCCAAAGGGGGTGGTGTGATTTTGTTGGAGGAGGTGTGGTCTTGTTAGAGGAAGTGTGTCACCAAGGGGGTGGACTTTGAAGTCTTATATGCTGAAGTAATGCCCAGAGTGACACCCAGTTCATTCACTTGCTGCTGCCTGTGGATCAAGATATAGAACTCTCAGCTCCTTCTCTAGCACCATGTCTTCCTGCCAAGAGGATAACAGACTGAACCACTGAAACGCTAAGCCATCCCCAATTAAATATTTTCCTTTATAAGAATTTCCATGGTCATGGTATCTCTTCACATCAATAAAAATCCTAAGACAATACCCAACATGGATACTAGAAACCCAACCTAGCACCTCTGAAGAGCAGCAAGTGTGTTTTAACACCACTGAACCATCTCTTATCATGGAGTGCTACGTTGTAAAATTTAAATGATGAAATTCATCCTAATGACTAAATAGAGAACTGGGTAGAAAAAAGCCAAATAGAAAATCTTGCTCTATCATTAAAAGTTGTATTTGGATATAGATGAAAAAGACACAACGAAATGTTATTGTATGTAGCCCAAAAATCCTCAATCTCCCAGAATCAGTTTGCAAAACTGGGTGCCAAAAGAATGTTTTCCAGATGCAAAGGGCCATGGTTTTTGATCAGATAGCAACACAGTGACCCTAAATGGTTCATCTGATCCAAGAAATAACTTTCCTAAGCATTATACAATAATATTATATTACTAGATCTTATATAACAACCTTCCAACAATATCCAAAAGCTTTCCCATGCATTATAAAATTTCAAATTTTAATTTGGGAAAGTGCATTAAATAAAAAGAGAAGTAGTGAGAGGGAATGGCTCCCTAAAGATTCATTTGGCTGAAGGAAAGCAGAGGCCTTCAAACTGGCAAAGACAATAACACTATCACAACACAGGCAAAATGTATCACACTTGTGCTCTTAGCTCTTAAATGAGCCACCTTATACAATGGAGTTCACAGGAGATGAAGATTACATAGAAACAAATGAGTGACCCAGCTGACCCATGGAGGAAGAGAATAAAAATGTGATGAACAATAAAATGTCCCCCACAGTCTCAAACATTTGAACACTTGAAATCTAGTTGATGGTGCAGTTTGGGAACTCAAATTTAGTGGAGGAAATACATCATTAAGGGGTGAGTTTTTAAAGTTTAGAAACCCAGGCCGCTTCTGGTTCATTCTCTTTTGCGTTTATAGTAAACGATGTGAGCCCTCAGCTTCCTGCAGCATGCCTGCTACTTGCTGTCACGTCTCTTTGCAATGACAGACTCTCATCCCTCAAAAACCTGGAGCTCAGATACCCCCATTCTTCTCAACTGTCTTTGTCATGGTGTTTTACCACAGTAGCAGAAAAGTATAAAATGCAAAAATATATAAGGTTAGAGTGATGAGGAAGGTAACACCTACCAATTGCCTTAAAAATTCTGGCTTCTCTGAGGTTGGAAAGAGCTTGGAAATCTTAGAATAATGACTACCAGATGTTATGTGGGTATCCAGGGCAAAAGTTCTTAAAAACAATCTACTTTAAAAAACAAACAAACCAAAACAAAAACAGTTAATTTGAGTTTGGCAATACAGCTCAGGAGTTGAGCGTCTCATGGGCATGAATGGGGAAGAAGTAGTAATTGGCTAAATGGTATGAGCAGGCTCGTTTTAGTCAACTTTGAAACAAGCTATGGTCATCTGAGGGCAGAAAATCTCAATTGAGAAGATGTTCCCATGAGATCAGGCAGTAAAGCATTTTATTTATTAGTGATTGACGTGGTAGAGTCCATTTGTGGGTAGGGCCATCCCTGGCCTGGTGGTCCTGGGTTCTATAGGAAAGTTCTATAAGGAGCAAGCAAGCAAGCAACACCCCTCTATAGTCTCTGCATCAGCTCCTGACTTCAAATTCCTACCCTAGCTTTCTTCAATGACAGACTGCATTTTCCTATCCCACTTGCTTTTGATCACAGTGTTTGATCATAGCAATAATAACACTAAGACAAGGAATAAAACAATAAGGTCCACATCACTTCTGTGTACATAGCAATACCCTTTCGCTGCAAAAACTAAGATATTCATGAATAGCCTTAACAGGTTCCAAAGTGCAAATCTGTTTAAATTAGCCAGTGGAAAAGCCACTACATCTACACGACTGTTATCTCTGATACATATAAAAGTATGTATTTGTGTTTAAATCCTTATACTTAGTCCCCAAACTCCTGATAAAATGAAACGATAGACTATTAAACCAAAAGACAATAATTCCTTGACTATGTATGAAATAAAAAACAATTAAGTGAAAGAAACAAATTTATGTCAGCAAAACACTTGAGACAAACTCTTCTTACATAAAAAGGGGGTTCAATTAAAACAGAAAATGAAAACATTGAGCCAATCAATAAAGGCCAAAAAAGAGAGAAAGAACAGACAATTTTTTATGGAGCTGGACATAGTTACTGGGAGCTACAGAGAACAATGTCCAATTATATTTTTCCTTTTATGAAAAAAGGGTTTTTTCAAATTTCACAAATTTCATGTGGACTGGGGTATAGCTCAGCCCTATTCACCTGTATAGCACAGGCTCTACCCCCAATACCAGAAAAAGCAACAAACACGTAACAACCATTTCTACTCACAGCATACATCAAAGGAATTTCTTTTGGTAAACTCCTCCTTATCTACCAACCAAAATTCATCTGGTTTAAGTTAAATGACGGCAAGTACAGGCACAGCACAGCACAACTCATCTCCAAAGACAATAAAGAATTTGAAAACGACAAAAAGATTGCAGTCTCTCCCACTTAAAATATGTATCTGCATCCCAGTCCAAAACTAAGAAATAACAGAAAAGGTAAAAACTGTTTGTGGATTGTGAGGCTGCCTGGTCCCACTGGGAGCTGATTCCCTACCTACTATGCTTTCAGAAAAGGCTGGCATAGTTTTGGGGACATAGAGGCTCATCACACCTGTGATCGGTACTACCAAAGAGGCTGACAAAGGACTGAAGAGGTGAATCGGTGTTATAAGAGCAATAATTCCATCCAGGTTCAATTTCAGCACCCACAAACATGTGTAACTCCAGTTTCTTCTTTCCTCTTTTGGGCACTGCACCACATAATACACAGGCATGCATAATCACAAAACATAAAACAAAAAGTTAAAATTTAAAAAAAAGAGGCTAAGACCAGAAGATAAAGTCAAGGCCATTAAAAAAAAACTATAAACTCACAAATTTTCTAGAAACTTGCAAACATAAGAGAGTTAAGTCAGGGAGATTGCTCAGTGGGTAAGAGCACTTACTGTACAAGTGTGAGTTTGGATTCAAAGAATGTGCGGAAAACAATGGGCACAGCTAGCATAGTAACTATGGCACTGAGAGTAGAGACTCATTAAAGAGTGGAGGGTAGAATGAGATAACTGGAGCTTTACTGGGCAAAGCGCTAAGTTTCAGACTCAATGAGAGACCCTATCTCAGGGAATTAGGCAAAGAGCAATAAACAAAAGCATCCAGCATCATCCTCTGACCTCTACAGGTGCATGCACAGGTGACATACACTCCTGGCTCTCAACACACACACACACACACACACACACACACACACACACACACACACACACCAGCACCAAATAATAATTATAGACCTTACAGAGCATTTTACATGCTCAACTAATCATATTCTGAAAGGTATCTATTTAAAGACTATATCTATAATGGGTTGATTATACTGAGGTAATGGACAAGAGAGATCACTTCTTATATATCTCCCTTTTCCAGGAGGAAGAGGGAGGGCATGCACACTTGAGAAATGGGAACATGTGCCTCTGTGCACATGTGAATAATATACTAGGGAAGGACACTAAAAGTCTTCCTTCATTGCTATCCACCTTTTTTTTAACCACCTTATTTTCTGAGACAAGGTCTCACATTGAATCTGAAGCTTACTGTTTTTGCTAGACTGTCAGGTTGGTTAATCTCTGACCTCTAATGCTAGGGGTTAGAGGCATGCACAGCTATGTCCACATTTTACAGGAGTGCTAGAGATTTGGACTTGGGGGTCACCTTGTTTTCAAAGCAAGCATTCCTGCCCATTGAGCCATCTCTTTAGCCTCTCTTCTTTTTTTTTTTTTAAACACAAAACAACCCATCAACAGCATACAACAACATTAATCCTTCAAGTATGACTTAGCATCTGAAAGGATGCTCTTCCATTCCCCAGGGGTGGGGAGACAAGAGCCAAGCACAATATATAGAGAGCAAGATGCTCTCATCCCAGCAATGTTAGCCTAAGACCCAGGCTCCTGAGGAGAAAGGTAAACTTTGTAAACTTATTTCTTTGCGGGATAAAAAGTAGATGGCTGGTGGCATTTTTAAAATAACACCTTTGCCCATCCAACCCCCCATAATGTGCTGGTTAGAGAGAAAAGTAGAAGGGTGACAAAGACACACACTGTACCTGTTGTTGAGAATTGTAGTCAAAAAGTCCCACAGTTGCGGCTGCTGAGTCCACAGGTACCTGCGTGCCTGAATAATCAAACTGCAGAGGCTCCATGCCCACATGTTCCATGGGGTCCAAGGGGACACTCTGGGACTCCATGTTGGAGAAATCCTCCACAGGCTTGGCACCATTGGTGCTGGTCAGCTGGGCTAAGCCCTCAGAACCATTCTGGTTTGGACCCAGAAGATCCACTTCATTAGCTGAGTTCTGGCAATTACCAGGGGTACGGCTAAACAGAGAAAGTAAAGGGCATTAAACCTTATTTTGATCGGGGAGGACTACAGCAACCCCCAGTTTACTCTTCGAAGCTAGTTCTACAAAATATTTGACAAGGCTTACAGGGTTGGCACCTCTAGAATGAGTCTATTGTTTGCTTTCCCTCCTAGACACCTCTTGAACCTGTATCATCTGCTATTAATGGACAATACCTTTACCATGGAATCTAAATTGAAGAAACAGAGAAAGCTAAAAACAATACTTCCCATGGCAGTCATGAAAACAAATGTCCTACCCAAACACAGAGGTAAATAAACACATTCCAGCAGTAGTCACTCCTTTTAAACACAGAGCAAACCGGAAAGGTTAGTTCCCAGGCCAGGCAAAGTGGCACATACCTATGAACCCAGTATTCAGTGCAAGTTTCAAAGTTATGCTGGAGTATGCACAAGAATTTGTTTCCAAATAAAGCAAAAAACCCAATGCTGATTCCCAGAGGAAATTCCAATTCTTAAAATGATTTTAATAAAAAGGTTTTCATGTACTATTTAGTATGAGTGTTAAACACTACACCCATCTGCCAAAGGAATGGAAGAAGCATCAGTTCAAAACTGTATAAAGCTTCATTGCTGACCACAAGCTCCTACTCCAAAGACAATACTAAACTTAAGCTAGTTGCATACTCCATGTCATGACACTGCAAAGAGCAAAGAAGGCACCAGTAGTGATTACTTGGCCACAAGCTTAAGTGAGTACTGTAATGGGACTTGAGATATACCACAACCCTATGTTAAATGACTGTACCATTCAAACCCATTACAGGCAAAGGAGAGCAGCCTGTGCCTACATTCAATCCTTCATATCTAAAAAAGAACAAAGCTGGTACAAGTTAAAAGTATTGTCATGATCCTTCACATACACCACCACTTCAACCACCTCCTGCCCCATCCAGATATCACAAAGCATTGCTCTAGGGTGCTTGTGCTACAAGGAGGTGGGGCTATCTGAACACATCCCAAGAACACAGACAAGCATTTACTGCCATTTGCCTCAAATTTCAAAGACTCTAATTCTATGTATGCTCAATAAATACAAAATTAGGCTTATTAAGCAACTGATACTTTTGCTGCAAAATATGCAAATACCTTTTTTATACTAGTGGGTATTTGGAGGATGTGAAACGCATGTTTGTATGTGTATTCAAATAAACACTCATTACCTATAGACTGACATTATTTATACATGTATCACTGAACCAAAAAATTATACTTTTTAAAATTACACACCATAACGAATAGCTTGTCTACATAAACAAGAATGGCTGCCAAATGGGGAAGACAAATGTATAATACTATGTATGTTCTGCTACAGGGGAAAAATCTGCAACTCAGGCATAACCAGAGATGGCACACGAGTTTTCCATGGAAAGTATGACTAGCAACAAACCATTTCTGGGTGTGGCAGTATACATTTGAAATCCCAGCACTCAGAGGCCAAGGCAGGAGGATTGCAAGTTCAAAGCCAGCCTGGGTTACATAGTGAGACCCTTTGCATCTCAACTTCTACTTCTTCAGTCTGAATTAACTGATGCCTGGCCTACCTACGAGGAATGGAGCTGCTAAACGCAAATGAAATGGGAGAAGGCGCACAAGTTCTCAGTTATTTCTCCTTCCATTGTGAGAGGGGGCGCTAGTGTATAATGGTATGGGAGAAACTGGGGGTGGGGGAGAAGTCCCAAAACACCTACACCAAAAGTATTTTACTAAAATCTCCTCTGTGGAATAAATCTGAGAACCCAGCTCCATACAAATACAAATTCTATCATTTGGGCAAAGCATCAAACATGGTCAGCTCTTAGAAAATTCCACCTTACCAGTTAGTTTACAGCTCTATGGCATCATCTATACTAGATCCAATTTTTTTTTAAAGAAACAGGAAGGAAGAGACTAAAATAAAAGCAAAGAACCCACAGCCCACAATTCAAAATCAGAAGTGTAAAATATACAAACCTAAAATCTTTGACGTCTGCATCAATCCCATTCTGCACTGGTAAACCATTGGTCTTGTCCATCACATCACCCTCCTCCTTCAAATCTCCTAGCTTATCTCCATCAAACGTACCCTTGTTCTTCTTTTCACCTTTGTCGTTTTCATCACTGTCTGCATCTCTTGGGCCCTGTTTAAAAAATAGCTTCAGCTTCACTAATCATCATCAGCTAATTGTGGACACCCACTGTGCACACAGACTACACTAAATGCTAACTGAAACAAGACTGCACCCACTTTCAATATTACAGTCTAGTTTACAAACAACACAGAGGCAAGAACACTGCAGAATGTTTTGCCAAATGGGGGAAAGACACACAGACAGGTATGTTATAGAACTGAGAACATCTTATCATACCATAGACTTTCCCTTCTGCCCAATCCCCTCTTCTAGTCAAAGCCCAATTAAAACTGTGGAACTCTCAACTTCTCTACTCTCAAATCTGTCTAGCATGACTCCAACAGGAAAAGAATTATGCCTGCTTAAAAAAACAAAAACAAACAAAAAATAAAAACATGATTCTCACTATCCTATAAGCCCCTCCTTCATTTCTAAACATGAAACAATGTGAGCCAAAATTATTCTAACTCAACTTATCTCTACTTGATATATATATACCTTGCCTCTTGCACTACCACCCCAGTTCCACCCTGTTGTACCAAATCCTTAAAATTATTGTATTTGTTTGATTTGCCTGTTTGTTTTGTTTATGTCTCTGTCTGTTTGATTTCTGAGTCAGGTTCTTGCTGTCCCTTGCTAGCTTGGAACAGACTACATACAAAGCTCAGGTTGGCCTGCATTTTTGGCAACCCTCTTGCCTCAGCCTTCTAAAATGCTTAGATTACAAGTGTGTACCAGTCCAGTCAACATTGACTTTTTTTTTTATTAAAGATACTTCAAAATAAATTAAATCTTTCTTTTTGGAAGCATACTCTTAAAATTAATCTTCCATTGTCTACATATTTAAGTGAAAATTAGTTTTAATGATATAACTGAGGACTTTTATACAACAGAATTTACTTCTGAAATGTTTCACACTTTCTAACACTGGACCTACTGCAATGGATTGGAAACCAGATACATTCAAGTCCTTCCTTTTAAAGAAATGCAAATGTTTATCTTCTTAATAGGATCCAGCATAAGTCTTAGATATAGAAGAAAAAAAAGTTTTGATTTCCAAAAGGAAAACAACTATCTCGGGACTTGACATAGTACAGAGTTTTGCAGACCCTGGCATTGCAGGGCACTAATTAAATTGCTTTTATAAAATGAGAGAAGCAATCTTGCTATTCCCATCACTGACTCCTGCTTTATGGAGGAAACAAGTGCACATGGCTCAAATTAAAGTTCCTGGCACAAAGCAAGCCCAGTGGACAAAAAGCAAACACTTGTACAGCAAGCATCCAATCACCAGGTTATCTTCAGTGGAACTCAGCAGAACACAGAGCAGCAGATAGCTATGAGCAAGCTGACTGAAAAGAGTGACAAGTTGCACAGAGAAAACTACAGGAGTTCTCTGAAGAGTTTAGAAATCACCTGGCCACAACTACAACGCAAGAGCCTGACAGTCTCAGACCTGTAGGATACTATTTCAGATCTCATTTTCCTTCTAAAGTCATTCTCAGTTCAAATACACGCACAAAAAGAAAGCCTTTGTGGATAATATGAAGATAGGAGTACATAGGATCAGTATACACAGCATAGCCTCTAGTGGCATCCAGACACTGAAGCACAAGAGCCACAGTGGCATGTGCCTTGAAGACTGCACCTCTACAACACAGAATTGAAGGAAACTTCAAACACAGATATGGGAAGACAAGGCTCTAAAGGCCAACAGAGCTTGCATGATAACCAGAATCAGCACCAACCTACACAATGCAAAGAAAAGTAAGGAAGTAAAATTTTCATTTTTGTAGCTACAGCTATAAAGATGAATACACTATCTAGCAGAAGCTCAATAAATGACCCAGAAGTGTTCTAATGGTGAGGATGAAAATCTCCTGTGAAACCAAAATGCCAAAAATAAGAAAGTTCATCTTCTCTTTATCATCATTAAACCAGTCTAGTTGGTGAGAATATTGTTGCAATGGCAAAAAGAAACTATTACTGTCAATGGACAGTAAGTATCACATGAAGAAGCCTATAAATCAAATCTATGGCTCAAGAAAAATTGTTTAGTTCCAATATCTCCCAAGGAGTTCAAAAGTCCATAAAACTGCACAGGAACTAGAAGAAGGGAGCGGTAGGAAGGTCCTAAACAGCAAGCATGATACGGGCAGAGGCACCTTCAGTGGGCAACTCACTTTTCAGCATTCTCACTCTTTGGCGACCTTCACAAGGGCTTCCTGCAAACCTGCTCAATCTATTTGCTCACTGGTCTATACTGAAAACACAGTCAATAACAAAATTTCATTATTAATTTCATAGTCAAGGGTTCTATTTTCAAAATATTCCCCGAGGAGGACTAGTTTTCGCCAATCCTGAAAAATCCATCCTACAATTTGCTGTCTGGCTTTCTTCCTCTATTAAAACATCAAATCTTTGGCAAAGCATTGGCAACTCTTTCTACCAGACAGTAAGGGATCTGAGAGATGTTCCTACATGTTGATTTTTCATGGTGAATCTCCATTTGTAGAAATTGTGGAGAACGTTTAAAACTTCAGCACTTGTGTGTGTATAAACCAAAATATATATATGCGCAAATCCACTTTACTTAAAAATAAAAAGTTCATTGACACACAACAAAAATAGCTGGCAATCAAATCTGCCTTATGTCAAGATCATAGTGAGAAACAAGCTGCTACCTAAAGACAGTACTAGGTTCCAGATCATAAAAATGTTTTTTTTCTGTAGTCCTAGCAAGTAAGAGGCAGAAGCATTAAGTTACCAGCTATCTAGGGCCACAGTAAAAGACCCTGTCTCAAATAATTACAAAAAGGTCTCTTAGTGAGGGGCCAGCAGGGCAGGGAAGTCAAACTTGTAATCCCAGCACTCAGGTGATAAAACAGGAGGATTACCATGAACGTAAACAGGTTGTAGGCTAGCCTGTTCACTATTGGACACTATCATATATATATGAATGAATGATGTGTGTGTGAAAGGAAATGGAGGGGGAGGGGAGGGGAGGGNGGGAGGGAGGGAGGGAGGGAGGGAGGGAGGGAGGGAGGGAGGGAGGGAGGAAAAGCCTAACAGAAAAGTAGAGCTAGAAAGATGGCTAGGGTTCAACCCTAGCAGCTGTATGGCAGGTCAAAACAGTTCCTAGGGATCGACACCCTCTTCTGGCCTCCAGGGATATTTGCATGCACATGTTATACAGATAAACATGCAGGTAGGTAACCCATACGCATAAAATAAAAATAAATTTAGGGGGAAAATTAAAATAGAGTATAAAGTATCCATTTTGGGCATCTTTGTAGTTCTTAATAATATGTAAGGTGGGGTGTTTGCAGTTATGTGGTCTTTCAGATAAATACTGGCACAGGTGCACTATTCTGTGTTCAATCTGCAACATTTACTGGACATAGGACTTTGGTCATTTAATATCTGAGTCTTAGTTTTCTTATCTATAAAACAGAGATAATCTTGTTTAATAAATAGTTATGAACAGGGGGCTGGAGAGATGGCTCAGCGGTTAAGAGCATTGCCTGCTCTTCCAAAGGTCCTGAGTTCAATTCCCAGCAACCACATGGTGGCTCACAACCATCTGTAATGAGGTCTGGTGCCCTCTTCTGGCCTGCAGGCATACACGTAGAAAGAATATTGTATACATACATACATATTAAAAAATAGTTATGAACAGCAAAAAAGTATTGCATGTGTGAAGTTTAAGAATGTTATTTTATACACATGCAAAAATACAGCAGAATAGATGCACATAATACTATCAAACACAAGCACATAACTGATATGGTTCTCCCAGAGCAGCCATTTGAAAGTGGCTCTTTAGTCCTGGTTGATGATCATAATCTCAAAATTTATAGGTACCTGGGGTCCACACACACACATTCCGATTTACTTCATCTAAAAATGCTTCCACATATAGCACTTTTAAGAAAACTTTTCCCTAAAAGCTCTCTTAAGTACCAACACTTCAGAAACAACATAATTAAGATCAAACAGAAAAATTAAAAAGACAAGGAAGGTTTGTGTCCTCGATTTGTTGTCATGTTGTTTAGTACACAACAATACTAAAAACAAAAACCCTATGACCTGAAAGAACACATAAATAAATGACAAAACAAGCAAGGATCCCGGGATCTTTCTTTAATGCGATGAAAACCCTCACAGTAACGTTCAAAACCACCACCAGTGGTGTAGCCTGCACAAGCATTGAGGCCCTATCACATTCTCTACAGTGGGGAGAGAGAGCCGAGCGAGCAACACGGTAATGGAAGATCACCCACTGCTAGCTACCAAAGAACCAGGAGTCAAGCAGATATTGGTTTAAAAAAAAAAAAACATGAAGCACATGGGTGGCCTGCACACTCCAGCTTAGCCTTCTCCGGGCAAAGATAAAGGAAGATACTTCTAAACATCTCACTTATTCCCAAGGAACTTAAAAGCCAGAAATCCTCTGACGACCAGGTTCTTGTAACAACACTTCATAGTGGAAGGGCCATTTAGTGACATCAGAGGCTCTCCTCCATAGGTACCAAAGAAGCAGTATTTTCTGCCTACAAACAAGATGATGTTAACTAAACAAAATCTTATGCAGCCCCCCATTTTTTGATTATTTATTTAGTATGCACTAGTGTTTGGGTTTTGCCTGTACGTATATCTGTGTGAGGGTGTCAGATTCCCCTGGAACTGGAGTTACAGACAGCCGTGAGCTGCCGTGAAGGTACTGGGAATTGAACCCGGGTCCTCTAGCTTGAAGAGCAGCTACTGCTCTCAACTGCTGAGCCATCTCTCTAGCCCCAACCCAAATTTTTTCAGAGTACAATAGTTAATTTCTCTAATAGGTATAGACTTTCAGTATCAAGAAAATAAGTAAAAGTTTGCAGTTGCTAGCCTTTCTGTAACAACTTAATGAGAACCTAGCTCAAAAGTCACTATAGAATAAATGCCATGCCAGACAAAACAGAAATGAAAGCTTGAATCCAGAACTTTGCTTCTGAGTCTTATTTTCCTCATCTATAAATTAATCTACCATAAGGGTTGTTCCAAGTATTAAATAAGGCAATTCTTACAATTAAAGTTCTTCAAAAAAAAATCAATTTGTTTTTCTAAAATTAGTATGAAAAAATGCAGCCACTATGTTTCATGGACTCTGAGATACTATCGTGCTATACCACAAAAAAAAAGGGGGGGGGGAAGCACAACATTGGTTCAAGTTTGACATGGACCCATTTGAAATATGCACTGATTTCAGAAGGAACAAAAGCTGAAAAAAGTGCATGGCCTACACAGGCACCATGGTCCTGATCACCCAATTCCTGGTGTGCAGAAAGTTAAGACAAATAGGCATCTGCTATGATATCCAAGAGAAAAAAAAAAAAAAAAAGAAAAGAAAACTTTCAGGCAAAAAAAATGATGTTTGATTTTATTAGAAAACCCTCAAAAGCAGTTTGGTTTTGTTTGCTTTTTAAGTTTGACATTGCAGAATACAGCATGTGGTTTCGATTGCAGAACTAGCCAGAATCTAAAGGCATTCTATCCTATAACATAATCTTCCAAGGAGATTCTAATAGTGTCTCAGCTTTAGTACACATGTCAATCACAGGGGTGGGGGTTGGGATGGGGCTTATCTTATTGAAAATTAAGGTATGGTGGCACATTCTGCAAGCCTGCCACTCAGGATACGGAGGCAGGAAGACTATGAGTTTGAGGCCAGCCTGGGTTACATAATAACACATTGTCCCCAAAATGGCATGTGGCTTTCAGTTCAGGAAGCCTAGGGTAGGGTCTAGCAATCCTAAGCCCCAGAGTGATGCTAGTAATATCGATGCACACTAACTATGAGTATCAATATACTTTGTTACATATTATGAGACTTCCTTGAATGCTAATTATCCCTGTTATACAGATGAAGAATTCAACTGAGACTCAAACTCTGACTTTTATATGTAATACAATACCCAAAGTTTTACAAAAATCAATTATAATATACTAGCCTCCCAAGCCAAATTGTTGTGGCCCAGATGACAGCTAGAAGTATGCATTCTCCAGGTCAGAAAGCAGGAGCTTGACACAAATGGGGAGAGCTTCCAACATCTCCCCAAGTTAGACCAGTTGTCACTAATCCAATGTTTGCAGTGGATAAACAAGGTAGCAATCATGTTCAACCTATTTGAAGAAAATCAGAAGACCAACAGAGTCCTTAGATAAGCAATATCACCCATAGAATTTCAAATTTCCTATGGTTTTATAACTACTTGTGAAATATCGTATTCCAGGAACAAATGAAATAAAAGCTAAAAGGGGAAAAAAAAAAGACTTGACTCAGGAATTCAAGTTTTTCCCATTCCAAAATCTACCACCGTAAAAGGTGGGGGATACACATGCAGCAGGCTAGCTAGCATTCACAGTAAGCGTGAGAACAGTGCAGCTGTCAGAGTCTCCTGTTGAACCTCAAAATAAGTTAGGTAGTTTGTAGCAGGTTCTATGTAGCCTTGGCTGGCCTGGCACTCACTATGTAGACCAGGCTGGCCTCAAACTCACAGGATTTGGCTTCTCTCTAGTGTACACCACCATGCCCCACCTCCTAAAAGTGTTCCTTATCTCAGAAACAAAAACTATTAAGTTGAGAATATTTACAGCACCAAAATCAACTCAAGGAAGCACAAGGAAGGAAGACAAAGAGCTAAATCCTTTTATTCAAGCTGTGATGAGGAAATCTCATGAAATTGGAAAACTACTTGCTCTCCAAACTTAATACTGAAGTACTTTTGTTTTTAAGAAAGATGTTGTATCCATATCATGAGAACTAGAGAGTGATTCAGGTTTCCCATGAGTACAGTTTTCTCTAGGTGTCATCCTAACCAACAAAGGAATAAACATAGGTCATAAAAAACACCAGCAGAGGAGGTGGAGAGATGGCTCAGAGGTTAAAAGCACAGCCTGCTGCTGTTCCAGAGGTTCTGAGTTCAATTCCCAGCAACCACATGGTGGCTCACAACCATCTGTAGCAAGATCTGGTGCCCTCTTCTGGCCTGCAGGCATACATGCAGACAGAATCACTGTACACATAGTGAATAAATAAATCTTAAAAAAACAGCAGAATACAACTCCAATGCTGACCAGTCGTTCTCTGGTCAACATGCCTGAATATGGCACCTGCCAACACCATGGCTTGATATCTACCAGTCTTCTATCAATCTACAGATGGCATAGAAATCAAAGTGTTAGATAGGGTTTTATCCCCACAGCCGTCCTCCTAAGAGAGGAGAACACAAATTTTCGTTATTATTATCTTGGGTGTGCATCTCAGAAGCTTAGGAAATTATCTAACTGCCAAGAGTGCTGTCTCCTGGGGACTACTGTTTTCAACTGGAGGTGGGATAGTCATCATATCATCTGGCCTGAGGCCTAATTTCATCTAACCACAATACTACCCCAGAGATAAAAATGACCAATTTCCCAAAACAACTAAAAATGGAACCCTACTTTACAACCCAAAGGTGGGGTTTTATCATAAAACTGTCTTTAAAATGATTCCACTAGTAATAATTTCATTCCGCTGTTTTATCTACGTTTCAATTCAAGTGATTTTTCTCCCTCTTACAAAGTTCACAGAATCTGGGTGTGTGCCTGTGGCTAATGTTCACAAACCAGAAACTGGTCAGAGAATTCACAGCCATTGTTATCAAGGCTCTCATTTCTCTCCTGCAAGTAACTCAAAGCAGCAGGCAGTGTTTAGAAGGCAGCACTTTCTCAAAGAAATCTTAAGAGGATAAGGAATGAAGAAACTGAGGTGAGTATTAGTGAAAACAGAGTTCCAGTCTTCTCTTGAGAAGATAGGAAAATGAGCATTCGGCTTGATCCCATTCCTCATATCCAAAGTGTAGATCTATTCTCCCCCAAGGAGCTCCTTGAGAAGGAACACAGAAGCTGTTTCCTATCTGATTTATAAGTCACTGTGTCTGGACAAAGTCAAAAGATCCAGAAACATTTGGGTCAGCTTTGAAAAGCCTAGTACTCAAGAATGTACCTGACATACAGAGCAAGCTACTAAACACCAAACACCAACTACTGCTATTCTAGAGTTTTAAGCAACAGAGGGACCAGCACAGAAAAGGAGTCTAGGTAACAAATGCAACATATAAAGAAATACACGTATGGATAAAACCAAAATTATGATAATATGGAGGGAAAGGTATTTCAAACATTTGTCACCAGGTAGTATTAGGCCATAAAAACTTTCCAAGAAAAGGACTGAAAAGGAACAAAACCAAGCAAGTTAGGGTGTAAAGAAGACAGGCAGATGCCAGAGTCCCTACTGGTCTTCTTAACAGCTACATATAACATCAGTCAGAGAATACAAAATGAGTAAAACTCAAGTAGATTATTTCTTAAGATTCTTCAATCTATAGAGCTGATATATATAGTATGCTTTGAGAAAGCAATCACAGAGCTTCAGAAAGAATGCTTTAATAAGAAGTGGCAGGAAGCAAAGGCTGCTATAGCTACTATTTGGCCAGCATAAGTGAGGCTAGTGGCAATGAATTTAAAAAAAAAAAGAAAAAGAAAAAAAAGAAACTTCAAACGCCCCTCATCAGAATAGGCAAAAAGCTGCTTAATAAAGACCACCATAAAATTAAAATCTAGCCTGCAAAACAAGAATGCTTTTTAAGGTTCTTGGTTGGTGGCCAATCATTCCTCTCTCAGACAAGTGCCTCCCTTCTACTGACACCCAACTTCTGCTTCCTTTGTAAAGAAGTTGCTTTTGGTTGAAATGAAGAGTGTTTTCTCATAGATCAAGTAACTGAGACTTTGATTTTAGCTCTTATCTCACCTAAGGATGTGCCCCATCTTTGAAATGTAGTTTACCTCTCCTGCTAATGCTTGCTGAGCTCTGTGCTACAATGGAAGTGTTAACACCCTGTAATGAATGCTGTGAGTACCTAGGAAACTCAAAAGGCACATTTTGCTTTGAGGGAAGGGGAAGAAAGAGATAGGAACAAGTTCCTCAAGCCAACTTACAAATCCTCCTTTTCTTAGACAGGAATCGCCCGGGGATGAGCTCAACACATACTCCACCATGCTAACGCCTAGTCCCCCACTCTCCGATCGTGGGGACAGTACAGAATTGACCTCACTGTTCACATGGAAACTCTGACCAGGTCTTCTCTGCACCATGATTGGCTGGGAAACTGAATGATCTACAAAAAAGATACACAAGTATGACACAGTGCAGCCAGAAGACCAAACAAATTATGAGTGATGTCTCAGGAATAAAGCAATGTCTGGGAATCAGGAGACCCACTAGAGTCAGCTGGGCCAAGCTTTCCTCTTGGGTCTTTCAATAAGCACTGATATTCTACATAAGCTAAGGACACAGAACACACTCCTCCTCTATCTAGGAAAGCAAAGGAGGACAGCAGTTCACATAGCTAGGTTGATAAGCCAATGTTCACCTCTTTAGAGTTGCAGAATTTCTTTAATGTTGCTTACTGGCAACAACAACTCTTTCTGAGAACTCCATTTTGCACTGTCCTGAACACAGCTTGTCCAGTGTTAGGTTTTCTATCTTCTCTTCTCTGGAAGCTATGGTTTCTATCTACTGCTGCTTTTTTTGCCTCTAGTAACTCTCCCCAGCCCTCTTCAGGGGAAGTCTATCACAAGAATGTCTGTGCCTGGTGATTTCATTTGGCCCCACGCACATTTAAAGATTACTATTCCATATATGGCACAGAACATCAAGGGGTAAAAGAATCATGAAATTCAAAGCACAGGCTTGGATTTTCCAATTCCAGGCAAGCTGACAGTAGCACAAAGTGAAAACTCAGAGCTAAATTTACAGTCATTTCAAATGAGTACATTCTTCTGTGACTAGAACTTCAGAAAATATTGAAGATTTGATTTTGCATTAATTATTTTTAATATATTACAATATCTAAGCTACTACTGGACAGGACATTTGCTTGGAGTGCTTTTGCCACTGATGTGAAATTCATGACTTGCCAAGTGCTGAGGAAGGGAGCTCTAAGACAGGCATAAATCACAGTAGAGACGCTAGAGCTAGATTACCTGATGTTCCCCAGGCACTGTCTCGCCATTGATCACCCAGGAATATTCCTTTTGGTCCATCTTTGCTGGATTCATCTGTTTCCCAAAACTTTTTACCTGGCAAGAGCTGCTGCAAATTAAAAATAATAGATGCTTTTAAAGAATTCATAAAGAATGAAAGTACAGCAGTCAACACTTTCTTTAGACAAGGGTTCTGAAGATGCTCATGGGCCCTGAAGGGCTCAATCGAGGGTTTTGGCTACACAGCTGTGATCAGAGCACTGTTCTTATTTACTAAAAGATACAGAAAGACCTAAAGCAACGGGACATCCATCATAATTACCTAGAATCATTCACTTAGTCTATGTGAAGATTTCTGAGGAGGAGGTAAGGGTAGAAACATCGCCCTGTTAGCTAACTGCTTGCTAAGACAACTCTAACTACAAAGGAATGTGCCTACGACTGTTAGCATACCGTCTGCACATGCACTGCCTGACCACACAAAGTTACTTAAGCAAGAACATGAACCCAGCTATGAACCTGAAGTACAGAATGCAAGCTATAACGTCCAATAACCAACACTTCCCTACCACACCTACCTGTTCTAAGACTTTAGAAAGAGAAAAAAAGTCATTCATCTACTTCCAGAAGGGAAATCAAATTTCTTAACCTGTTAGGTTTAATACTTGATAGTGCCATTAAAGCGATTTCAATCAAAGAAACAGGGGTCTCAGTTACAAAGGAAAAGTCCTTAAGACTGCCATCATTCTTGGTCTTTAACTTAATAAATTTTTACTTCCTCTAATTATGTTTTCTTTTCAACTGCTATTCCTCAGACAGGATAACAAGAAGTTTGAGATAACATGTAACACTATTTCTGAGCACAAAAGGGCATACCTGAAGAGCTGACTTATGCAAGGTCAGAAATGGAATGCTGACTTTCAGAAATAAAGCACCAGAAAGCCCAAGAGTTCTGCTCTCCTCCTGGACATGTTGAACTTTCCAACTTATTAGCAACACCTGAGCATAATGAAGAAAACAAAGCTGTCCACAAAAATAAACCCCAGCTTTCCAGCCTCACTGCTGCTTTCTCAGCACAATGTTAACCCACCCTCAAAAAGTTTCTAACTATTCCACAGGCATAGGTTACTACATGAACTCAAGCAGTTTGCAACCTTTTACAAATGGAAAGAACCTAGCAAAAAAGACTTCTGGCCTGGCGTTTACTTGTACAAATGCTAAGCAGCCTCAAAGATGGAAAGTTAAATTACAAGCATCAATCAATCCTTCATTGGTGCTTTTTGGACACCAAAAAAAGCGCTGGTTTTGAGAGAAAGAGGGAAAAGAAGAGGGAGAAACAGGCGTCCAGGCGAAGCTAAGCAGGAACCGGAAGTGCTGGACTAAATAGGTAAATATGCCCTGGGAACTACTATTAAACTGCCCTCGGCCTCCTTCCTCCTCTTTTTTTCTGAGGCCAAACCTGTTTTTCAGAGGCTATGCCAATCAGAAACATCATCGGCAAGTACCAAACAGTTCTTGGGAAACATATTCAGTGGCATCAGACATAAGCAAAATCATGGTCAAATTCCAGAAGAGTTAGTGAAAATTATTAACTATACAAGGAACAACTTAAAAGAATTCCTGCTTTCACATTCTATTTCTCCTTCTCACCTTGCAAATGACCTCTCCAAAGAGCCTATAAAACTTCCTTACTCACTAGCTGCATGCCTTCTACCACCTTCAAGTCTGACAAAAATTCTCATTCTTAGTTTGAAGAGAGTGAGACCAAACAGGAGTCCCAATTTACCACTCTTCTTTGTATAATAAAAGAAGCACAAGCAGTCACATCTATGTTGATTAATTTTATGCTCCGTGAAATGGTGGAAAAAGCAAAAGTGACTGAAACTAGTCCTATGCTGCCATTTTTTCCAATCTTAATCCTCTATATAAACTCAAGAATAGCCTTGACAAGTACCAGGCTTAACAAATAAACAATCTTGCTATGATTTATCAGTTGGTAACTAAAAGCAGCGATCTTTGAGCTCAAGGTGTCAAAGGTTATTTGTGAGATTCAAATGTTGTTTACTATTATCTGTTAGGCTGTCACAACATGCAAAGCAGCAAGTACATATGGAAAGCGATATTTTTAGGGCTGGTGAAATGGCTCAGAGGGTAAAGATGCTTGCCTCAAACCTGAGGACTTGAGTTCAATCCCTGGAACCCACATATGTTACAAGAGAAGCAATTCCATATGTTGTCCTCCCCAACATGAACTATGGCACACATAAATTCACAAATATACACATATGAACAATAAATAAATCAACAATGAAACAAATATGAAAAAATAGTAAGTAGAGAGTCTACTTCCTATTAGTAGCAGATGCAAGCAACAAGGTACAATGGAATGAAATCAAAGAGTGTTCCTAGCTCACTGAGTCAACCAATTCTCCTACTACTAAAAGTAGAAAACAAACATTAGAGGTAGCCCCCACAGTACTAGAGCTCTATATACATTAGTGAGGTGAAGATCAGCTAGCTAGTATCAGTGAGAACAGTAGGTACTATTTGGGCAAGTTCCCAAGAGATAAAGAGAAAGAAGAGGGGGGCAGACAGAGTGTAGCATGCTGATAGAGGCCAGGCAAAGTAGAAAGGGTGAGTTGAATCGGTGCTCAAACATCCCTGAACCAAGGGAATCTGGGCAAGTTAAAAGGAAGCTTAGTTAAGCCCTTTAAAATCTCTTAAGTTCTACACAGAACCTAGCATTTACTATAAAACCTACTGTCTGTACTCAATTGTGGTAAGCAGAAGAGATGACTCCAAATGACCTAGTCCCATTGTACTGTAAACAGGACCTATAATGGGATGCTGTGAGGTCACAGAAGTTATAGTGCCCTGCACTGCTTCTATTTCCTTCTACTACCACCACCATTGCTCAGCTTTTAGACAGCTGTTACGCTGTGAACCACACCAGAGAGTGGCTCACTTTGCCAAGGAACCAAGAGATCTCTACCCAACACAACAGTTCACTAGAAACTGAAGGCCTGATTCTAAGAGTCCATGAAGACCAAGATCCTGATACTGACCACATGAATTTGGAAGATTCTTCTCTCATAAAGCTGAGCAAAAATTCAGACCTGGTAGGCATTGTGCCTGCTACTTATAAGAGACCTTATAAGTCATGAGGTTTAAACAATGGTCTGGGATTTGTTACACAGTGGAGGAACTAATCAATCATGACTACGCAAAAGTATGTACTTCAAACAATTGAGTTTGTTTTTAAGTAAGACTTCTTGCCTAGCAGTGCTGGCACATGCTTTTAATCCCAGGACTCCAGCACTTGAGGCAGATTTAGTTCCAGGACAGCCAGGGCTACACAAGAGAAACCTGTCTGAAAAAGAACCAAGAAACAAAAAGGAGAAAAAGGAAAAAAGAAATGTTTCTCATCCCTTTTCTAACAGCTAAATCCCAGTACTGAAAGTACACTAGTTTTTGATTTAGAAAAAAAGTGATTAATTAGCTCTGTCCATTTCATGCTCTCTTCTCCTGTTTTATAACCTTTCACACTGGAAATAAGTAGCTTTTAAAGTTATGCTTGCTAACTGACAAGCAGTGGCAACATTTTCAACTTTTTATTCAAAGTCAATAATGAAAGTACTCAACTTCAATGCTGATGGTAAAACAGAGCTAGGTAACAACTTTAATGTAAAAATCAAGATCCAAGAGCCACTTAAATTCAGCAATCACACCTCTGGAGGTAATTCTATCCACCACATAAGCTACAGCCTCCCCACAAATCAACTCACTGCCAAAAATAAGTTTAAGTTGCCAAACTATCACATCAGCTAGAGTTAATTTCAAACACTACCAATTTAAATGCAACCAGCATTAACTTATTTGCGGGATTTGGGGTGGGGGAAGAATTACTGACAATCTACACAAAGTTAAAACACTCAGTGTACTCTGATGATGAGCGACATTCCTAGCCAGCAGACATTTTCTTTTGTGGAGCAGGTAAGCCTAGGCTTGGAACTCTGTAAGTAATCCAAGTAGATTTCCAGCTCTAAGCAATCCTGCTTCAGCTTCCTGGCCCAGAGACTACAGCATATATATATATAAAATCAATAAATCACAGTACAGCTTTACAAAATTCACTTTAAGTGAAAACTAAGCTATAAAAGGTTAAGATCTGACAATCTTTGTTTCTTCTTCCTTTCTTTCTTTTCTTTTTAGTTTTGAGACATGTAGCCCTGGCTGTCCAAGAACTTTCTCTGTAGACCAGGCTGGCCTTAGATCACAGTGATCTGCCTGCCTCTGCTTCAAGTGCTGAGATTGAAAGCATGCAACAACACCACCCAGCAAAACCAGATAATTCTAAAAGAAGGTGATGGGAAGTAGGAATTGGTCCAACAAAAGCTAAAGAGACAGATGCTGTCAGACCATTACGCAGTTGGCACATTGAAAAGAGCAGATGATACCCAAGTCCACATCTAAGAAAGTCAGCTTGAGTACAGTGAACCTGCAACCGTGAGTGCAACAACTTCTCTGACTCCAATGCTAACAGCAAGCAGCTTCTTAAAACTAATTTCATGAGTCAAGCACAGTGATCACCAACCACAGTGATCCTGTCCACTGAAAACTACAATTTCTCCTCAGAAATTAATAAACTGCAATTAGGTTTTTACACATTGGTCTCCTGTGGTTCTGGTTAGAGTGGAGTCTATGCAATAATCCAATTCCTCTGAATGAGCAATAAAGGCCTACTAAAAAAATCTACAAACCAGCTGGGCGGGTGGGTAATGGCGCATGCCTTTAATCCCAGAACTCAAGAAGCAAAGACAGGTGAATCTCCGTATGTTTGAGGCCAGCCTGATCTACAGAGAGGGTTCCAGGACAGCCAGCACTACACAGAGAAACCCTGCCTCAGAAAACACACACACACACACACAACCTACACATGTGTGTGGGGGGGGGTGTCATGTTGCCATCCTCAGCTTTAGAATAGATGTTCTCTTTCCCTATAATGTCTCATCAAATGGAATTCCTAATTGGATAGAAGGAAAAAGTATGCCACTTTATCTTCTGAACCACGGATTCATAGGAAATATTTAGACCAGTGAACACTTTGTG